ACATTTTCCCTGATCTTCCTTTTGCCATTCATATATTTGAAAGAGCTGTTCTTGTTATTGTTAACATCCCTTGCCAGATTTAATTCCAATTGTGCCTTAGCTTTTCTTGTGCCTAACTTTTCTTCATCTTTTTTTTTATAACCTGTCCATCTGAAGCCACATGAGGTCTATGATCTTCACCAAGTTGACTATTTTCACTTTTTTTGAGACCTTCCCATGGACTAGTATCTGTAGTTGAAAACACTGAGATGTCAGAGAGTTAGAGTTGGACCCCTAGCTCCTGAAAATTTTGAAGTGTTAGGCTGTATTTGTACTAAAAAAATAATCTAAGGCCCATTAGGATAAGTAGCATTAGGATAAGTATGCATGATTTTATGTCAGTGACAGCTGGCTTCATGACCCTGCTTAGTTTACTAGTAGTGATATGGCCTTAGAGATTTTTAGTTACCATTCTGAGACTAGAAAGGATCATGCATCTTCTGTGATTGTGGAGGAGTCAGAACTGCCTCACATCTCAAGACCTGCAGGTAGAGTTAATTTGGTATGAAAAATGCTGTGGTCTGAGGATCCTCCAGTTGACAGTTGTCGTCTGGAGCCCTCAAAAGACCTTAGCTTTGTTGTTATTACATAGAGAAATCAGATACTTTAAGAGGAAAGTTTTATTAGGATCTCACAGGCCTGGGAGAGTAGGCACAGGGACTGCTGAGGAACTGCCTAGGAGCCACTGTTTTAAACAGCATCTGTGATTCAGAGATCTCTAATAATAGCCTAACATAACAAAATTAGGATTTGAGGGCAAATTATATCCCATCTGTCATTACTGACATTTTACCTTTCTTAAGGCAGAGATTACAGAAATTCAGTAAAAAATTATCTTTTTAAATTCTGTATATAAGGATTTGGGGGATTTTTCTGTATAATGCAATTTACAGCTGGGAAAGTTAAAATGAAATTTTAAGCATATAATCCAAAAGATGCTGTTAGCTAAAAATACATTTTAGGCTAGTATGGAGAATTTTCACAACTCTACACAGAGGATACAAGTTCTTACTATGGGACACAGTTAATTCATCATTATAATATAATCTTTAAATATTTTTGTTCTAAGAAGCTATTTCCTTTTCCAAGATTACCATCTTTAAAAATCAAACTATTAAAACTCATACTTCTATACAATTAGAAATTAAGCTATGAATTATCTCATTGACACTTGCAGTAATGTGCAAATGCTGCACATCACTATTGGAGAGGACACAGGCAGAACACAGAAATGCTGTGTAGGAGGAGGGGTTTTTTGGTCCAAATAGAAATGTGGAAAAAGGTGGAAATGAAAGTTCATTTTCATTTAATGTTATAGATATTTAAATACAGTATTTATGAAGCAAGAAAGAGTGGCAAAATATTCCTGTTTTCATTAACATGTTTAACGATAGCATCTACGTTTCGATATCTAAAAACTTATATCTGCAGGTAGGCACTTAAATTTAAGAATGTTAACTCTGTAGATGGCTAGCTGAGACAGCAAACAAGTTGGCATCAACCACACCAGGCTGCATTTCTTACTGGGAGACCACATTAGGGGGTTTATAGGCTTAGCCATTCTGCTAAAAGTGTTTGTCAAAGATGACCAAATAGTATGAAGAGACTCACTTCTGCTCAGTGAGGAGCTGAGAATACAAGTTGTTCTCAAAAGATAATCTCTTATCATCTCCATTGACTTAATACAAAGTCAGCTGGTATCACAAAACAAGCAACGCACAAGCATTTGATACCATTCTATATGGATATATGGATATATGTGAAACATACGTTGTTATCGCCTGAGCTGGGCTGCACTGGTTGCAGCTTGCGCCAGGGCTTGGGGTTGCTGCCTGCCCTGACCCAGACCCAGTCCCGCTCCCACTCCAGCTCCAGCCCCAAACTTAAAAATAAATAGACAGGTTTAATTTAAAATATATGTAATCAAAAAAAATCTTTGGTCATAAAATTCATTGTGGATTATGCTATTAATAATTATGTAGGAAAAGAAAAACACGTTCCCTGAAGAATAATATTTTACAAAATTATTCAATTTAGGAAAAGGAATTTACTTTATGCTTAACTATGCTATCTCATGGTTATTCTAAATAACATAGGTAATCCTATAACTACTAAGTGATGATATTCCTTGTATGGAAGCTAATATATTGTCCAAGTACATCCAGTTCTTACCTTTTAATGAATTTTGAGACAACAATTTAAAAAGCTTTCCTGTTTTTAAATTTTAAAATAAAACTTATTAAATCATTTGATATAAATGAACTTTTTTCATACATATTTTTAAGATGAAGTTGATGCCAGTATTGAAAAAACCAGAACGCTTTTGCAGAACCAAAAAGACCAGGAAAAAAAAAAAAAAGTATTTTATGAATTAAACCATCTTTTAGTATTTCGCTTTGGGTTTTTTCAACCAATGTATTCACTTACCACAGCTCAAGAATACATCCCTGAAGAGTATTATAAGCAATATACTTAAAATTTGTAGAGGACCCACAAATGTTTGCACATTGTCTTCTATTTCAAAGTTATTTTTAGAGATGACAGTCTTGTCTTATAATAGGGCAATTGCCATTTTTACTGTAGGACAAAGTATTGCTATTCATCTATTCATGTCATGGTCAGTAATCTTCTCTCCCTCCCTGCCTTTTTAAATAATTTATTACAATTTGTTTTGTTAAAGGTTTGCAAGTTGGTGTATTGGATGAGCACGTCAGTGAAATGTACAATTTACTCTCCAAGGTTCTGATTTACATTTAGGTCTGGGAAAGGTTACTGGAATTGTCCTGACATATCTCTAGTAAGAAGAAAACTTGAGGTAAGTTAGCTAACTCCCTTATAGAGATCATAAGATCATTGAACTACTCAGCAATTGAAGGTATTCTGTTCAGTACTCAAAATCAAGAAGCATACACATGTTAACCCAGAGTAATTATATTTTCTATCAGACAGTACTATCAGAGAAAAACTCATTCTACTGAAATTGATTTATTAGTCAGTGATGTTTTTCTACTATTAGACATAAAAAGCACTGAATGATGTAGGAAGATTATCAAAACTCATTCAAAGTTTTAAAAATAGATTACTGAAGTGTGCAATAAAATGATACTAGGAAAGTAAATTTAAGAAAACTAAAACCTACTAGATGAGATAAACTAACTCATGTAATTTGGTGTAGTTCCAATAGTTCTTTATTATGTATACATCTTTATTACTAGGAAAGGCAGATTGTTCTACATCATGTTTGTATAGTCAATTACAGCTATTTGCGTTAGAAAAAAGCAGTCAAGTAATTACTGCCTAAACTGTTTTAGCCTCAGTGAAATATGAAAAACACAGTCATGCATTCTCAGCATATAGCTTCAAGCATTTGACTTAGCTCTTGGACTCAAAGGCTCCCTAGTAGCTGAAGGATGGACTCAGACCCTAACGCTGTGGCCTGAGGCGGGCTCTGCACTGGGTCCCCTGGAACTGCTACCTGCTCTGATCCAGTCTCAGCTCCAGCCCCAGCCCCAGGTCCAACTCTGGGCTGGACCCCTCCAAGGAGGGAGTGACACCCCCATGTCCCCATTCCCACAGTCTCTGTCCACCAAGCAATAGCCCTTTTTGTGCATAGGGCTGCTGTCACACTGCAGCTGGCAGCCCTCCAAGAGCAAGCAGATAATTATACAAAACCATATAAAAATGAGATGCACTCTGAAAAGAATCCCTTCACCCTGGTCCCCACCCTCCAAGACCTAGAGATGCTGACAAGTAGTTATAAGTCTTTCTCCCTCTTTTTCAGGAAGAAACTGTTGACCTTATGACTCAGAAGACCACCAGAAATGTGAGCATACTACCTAAATAAGGGTAGAAAGGTAGATATGAGAAAGAAGGTTTTCTTGTATAATAACTGTAGGTATACTGTTGCTGTATTATTAATGGAGCTTTCTTTTTTTTTTTTTGAGTATGTGTCTTTGTATTAGATAAAATGTCCTATTAGACTGTCAAAACATGAACTGTTTTGAAAATAATTCTTGGCTCTACACACACATGTATATACATCTGTGTATAAATACACATGTGTATATAGTGTGATCCTTTCACAATTATGACCTTTTCCAAAGTATTAGGCAGTAAGTTGTTCATTAAGCAAATAGACCATTTTAAATTTAAGCACCTAGATGACAGAAGCTCTAGCAAAGTAGCTCTGAGTAAAACCACCTCATTCTTAATCACACTTTTCCTTGTCCCACAGGGGAGGAAATCTAATGGGAACTGCTCAAGGCCAGTAGAAAGGCTAACTGGACCATTGAGGAAGGCAGGAAAAGTAGGGCTCCCTCACACAAACATGAGAAGCCTAACAGCCTCACATGCTCAACAGAGGGGTGTTTTTATATAGCCATTTTTCTTACCTATCACCTGCCCACTATGGAGGAATTTTTTTCCACCTGCGCCCTTCCCATTAGACAAAAACTTCAAGGGGAAATTGCTGCTCTCAATCTATCAAAAACTCCCAGTAGTTAGCACACTAATCATTACCATTACAGAGACAACTGAGATGATAGATACTTCTATTTCCATAGGTTGCAGTTGAATCACATTAGTTTGCAATGTATCTGCAGAACAGGATCAAAAATCCATCAGCATTTCAGATTCTGAAATGTTCTTTAATAGCATAGAGGAGGACAGACATAGATGACCAGAGCTTTTATACTGAATAAATAATCTGTCAATCTGTCAATGCTGTTGCCGTTCATGAGTTCCCTGGAGATAATCCTTATTACAACAGTTATACTAGTTACATGAATAGCAGTAGATCAGGTTTTGGTCAAAAATTAATTCATGATTTAATAAACTGGACTTAATATTTTTTATAGTTGTGTGGTTTGTGATTATCTAAGTTAAAAGGTATAATTTCAGCAACATTTAGTTGTAAAGAGTAAATAATGTATTAGACTCATGGGATCATTTGTGTTTCTTACCTGTGAAGCCCTTGTCACATTCACAAATGAAAGTATTTGGAGTAACATTGCTGCAGTTCCCATTGAAACATGTATGTGGCTGGCACTGTCCAACGATATCTGTGCAATTTTTCCCTATTTAAAAAGATAATAAGAAGATTGAACTTTGCAAATATTTATATTTTTCCAGAAATGTCAAATTTATATGTAAAATAAAACATTTTATTAGATAGATAGATAGGTTGGTAGGTAAGTAGGTAAGCAGGTAAATATTTGTGTTAATATTCACCATAATTTTAGTGAAAACTATTGAAGTTTTAAAACAAGGCAAAAATAAATTGGACTGCTGTCATACTAGCTACTGTACTCTGCTTCATCTGCCATATACTTTCAAATTTGCATATAATTTAAAATCCAGGAATGCTATAGGTAGGCATTTGTTTCTCTGTAACATGAGGGTAGCTCAGTTTCTTCCAGCATCAGGTACAAAAAGCAGTGCTCGTGTGGCATCAAATTTGAATGTATTTTCCTTAATATGCCACTTTCTTGAAATGACTATTCAAATTATAAACTGCTTAGGCTATTACAGCATATGGGCCTAAATACCGTATAATTATGCCTGCCACTTGAGTGGTTACTATGGCATTATTTACACTTCATCAACTTTTCTACTTTCTAATACACTTTATATTGTGGAAAAAAACTCTTTCCTCCCTGGCACTTGTGTAATCACAACTATAATACCTGATGAATTAATCTTGTAGTTGTTCTTGTGTACACACAGTTTATTTACTGCATCAATACTATCAGTAGAAAATGATGGTATTAGCTAACACTGTCCCACATAGCAGAATATTTCAAGCATGACTTCATAGCAGCATTAAGTATGGTCATCGGTTTTCCAGAAGTGCTTGCGGATCTTCCATCAGCTTGAATTAAAGTAAGACCAAGCCCTTGTTTTTATTTTCAAAGTATCTTACCCAGTTAGCTGTCAAGGCTCACAAAAGATTAAAAAGAATACTGCATGAATGTTTTCTACCATATGTTTTCCACTATTTTTACTAAACTCAGAGCAATTATAAAAATTACTCTTTTCAAAACATTGACATATTCATATCTGCACAGTCTTTTTTTTTTGCAAATGCATTAGTAACAAAATTATTATGCCATTTGAAAAGCAACTAAAATAAATTATAGCAAATTTTATGCAATATAAACTTTCTCCTCTATTCTGTGAGCCTCATTTGTTCCTGACTCATCAGCTGTATCTCATAGCGTGGCATTGCTATTGGGACAGCACAGAACAGTCCATACAGGGAATATTGCAAGAATTCTCCTCCATGAATTTAGACAGAGCTGAATCACTTCTTTTTGTGATGTGAAAGATTACTTCTTATAACTCCTGAACTCCATTGATCTGATTGAAGGCACTAAAAAGTATACTCATAACTTCTCTTATTCCATTCTCTTTCAATTTGAAATGAAATGGCTGAGTAAGCAAGCACATGAAAATGCTGTTAGCCTTTGGTATAATTCCTTCAGAGGGCTTGGTTAGAGATACCGCAATACTTTCGGAATAGGAAATAATTAGGTTTTTTTTTATTATTATTATTATTTTGGTGAAAAATGTATTTGGTGACAACAGTATGTTTAACAAACTGCTATTGAAAAGAACTTCACAAAGCAAAAAATGGAAAAAGTTAAGTATTTTACTTTGCTTGCATTTTTAATTAGATTTTTAACTTCTTTTTATTTGGAAACAAATTCAGATTTTGTAATTTTCTCTAATTTGATCTCAAAAGGCTTGTGACTAAAAAAGAAGTGTTCATAGCAGGTTGACTTTCTATTTCAACATAACCATTTGCTGTTTTAAAGCATTTTGTTTAAGTAACTATTTTCAGTTGGTCTGACTCCAAGCAATTTATATTATTTGGTGAGAGAGCTTAAAGAGCTTAGCAAACAGACAAGAAACATCTATTACTTATGGAAGTGCACAAGTACTTGCCTATGTTTGCTGCTTATGTGAGAGAAGCATCCCCACAATTCCCCACAATGAATGCATCAATGCAACCAGACAGAAACAGTCTTTAAATGATGGCATAGCCTCCTATAGGAGACTACATGTAAAAGATACTCAGTGCATGTGTAGTAGTGGCAACAGACAATCAAATTACAGAAAAACTTTGCTAACAATGCACTTGTTTTTCACTGTACATGAAAGAACATGTAATACTTATGTAATATTTATTTCTAGAAAAAAAAATTACCTGCGAATTGTGGAGGACATATGCACTGATAGGAATCTCTGTGAAGCTGTGATGCGTCCACACAGGAGGCGTTGTTGTGGCAAGGTTTAGTGGAGCACATATCAAATTTCTGGCAGAATCTTCCAGAATACTGTGGGAAACAATGGCAGTTATATGCGTCCTCCCAAATATGGCTCAAGCATCTTCCATGCCCAGAGCACAGTGGTGCATGTGGAGCTTGTTGGCAAAGCTGCTGCTTCACTGTTACGTTCAGACGAAGGCCCTTGTCACACAGTTGTGGGCCCTTGTGGTGCCGCTCTAAAAAATAGTGAGTTCCAACAGCAAGCCATTTGGGGTCAACTTGGTGTAGCCCTCCAACCTGGCAAACCAAAACCAGTTGCTCTTGAAGAACACCAGTTTTAGGGCAATTAATAAATTCTTCCTTGGAGACATTTGCCAAATTCATTCCATGCAACTGAAAAGATGGCTCAGAGGAGATGAAGAGACTGTCACCTAACTGAAGCTGCAAGGGACATATCTGAGGGACACGGAGATTTTGTTCTTCTGAGATGTTCCCAGTATTACTTTTATGCATATCCCAGCACTCTTTGTAAAAGTCTGAGCAGATTTTTTCCCTTAGTGTCCATTTTATTATATTTGGCTTCGGTTCCACCCGCCATTCAACAGTCATTTGCCTATCACAAGTTATCTGTCCATTTATGAGGTAGATTTGAAGAAAGCACACTACTGTGAGAACTGTTGATTTTGGCATCGTTACTGAAGACAGCTTTAGAACATGTGTGGCCTTGGTATTTTCTTTTTAGTCGAATCCTAGGAATTCACAGAGAGAAAAAACATTTATGTTTACCCACCAAAAAAAGTGAAATATCAAAGCTTGATTGAAAAATACACAATATGGAAAATACACACCAAAGCATGGTCTGTATTTAGCTACAGTAATGCAAAACTGCAATAAGTCTGCTTAATTGATCAGAATTATACCAGTGTGATTAAGGTTAGAATCTGTTCCTAATTCTATTGCTGCTAAAGTTTTAACTTCCACTTAGTTAGTCAAAATAATTTACATGAGGAAAGAGAAAGAGCCTAAAATCACCCTTACCCTTTTTCCTCCCACGTTTTTGCCTCTGGGCAGTGGCAAAATAAGCTTGAGAGAGAGTAAGAATAAGTAAGGTCAGATAAGACTTCTGAGACAAAACTGTGAAGTAAAGCTGAACATTTAAGCCCTAGTCATGAGTTTTAATCATAGATGCTTTTCCTGGTAAAGATATATCATTAATTTACAGTGAAAGTAGATACTCTGAAGATGAAGATATATGAATTATGCCTTCAGTAAAGAAAAAACACAAACTCATCCTAAACTCTCTGTATGAACACACAAGCTCAGCAAAACAGTAAGATCCTTAGTTTTCAAAATATATGTCTTTGAAAACCAAAGATACTTAATCATATGCTTAAGGTTTTTGATGAAAGCTAGCAGACCTACAGAGCCCTCCAGGACTATTTTAACTTATAGAGATGCTTTTTTTAGCCCTTCAGACTACCCAGCAATTTTTATTCCATGAGAGAGATTTTGGAATAGTAGGAAAAGCAAACTAAAATTATGAAGCTTATTCTTGAAGTCCTACTGAAAAAGATGAAAACATAACATAGTGATGCTTAATACCTTAAAAAATGCCAATACCTCTCGGTAAAGGTTAGCAACACTAGCTCAATTTTCATTAAATATAATGCCTTTTCTCTTTTTTAGTGCTATGATGCATTTTTTCTCATTATATGTCTTCAATTTTAAAACAGTGGCCTTTCAGCTGATATTTGCAAGGGAGAAAATGGAAGAATTCTTGCTCATCTAGCAAACAGTTTGCCTTTTATCCACGTAATGGATATGCATAGGTCTGATATCATACACAGGTTCTACTTTTACTGAAGAAAGGATGCTTACCATACAAAGTTTGTGGTTTCACAGCCTGTACTGAGGGATGAATCTTCTATAATATGGCTGTGACTTTGGATCTGTGAGTGTGAGAAGAGCTACAAGGCAGTTTGAGGTGGGGGAGTGCACTTTCTGGTTTGTTCCCACTTTGCTCGGGAGCCGAATTTAAGCTCAGGTGCTCATCCATGATCCTTATCTGTGTTATGCTGCAGGTAGACATTGCTGCCCTTGGGCCTGTACCCGCCTTTGTACTTTGCTTATCTCAATCCTGACCCTGACCCAAGCATTTCCCATGACTTTGACCCCTGGATTTGTCTCACCATCGTGGCCTTTCCTGGCAGCGATGTTGCTGTTGGCTATCCTGACAGGACCACCAACCCAGCTCTGTGCTACTTGCGCGGGATGCTGACACTGGGCTACCTGTGGATTCAGCTTTTGCCCAGCCTGCCCCACCGTCACCCTCTGCTCCTTGCTGTCTCCCATACACGACATCCCACTTCACATTTGTGGCATTGATTAATGCACATTTTTTATTCTATGCATATTTAAAAGCATCAAATTAAATCAACATTACTTAGTATGTAAAGTACTCATAACACAAGAAATGCCTCAAATTATATTGTCTGCATAATTTGACTTCCACCTTCTGCATGTTTTACAGCAGGCACTAATTGCTTTGCTGACATCCCAAGTCGTCCTTCACTCCTTTACCCTTTTAGTAACAAAATGAATAATCTTTGGGAAATGTTTCATTATTCATGCTTATCTTCATTCCTTGCAGATGATCCTTTCTCTTATTTCCTATATACTATTCAAAACTTATGATGTTTGCAGAATTACTAACTTGCTAATATGATTTTCTAGAACATTGAACATGCTAGAGAGTGAACTTACCTCCATCTCAAAATAAGCAATCATTATTTCTACTTTACAGGTAAGCTATAGCTAGAAATGGAAGCAGTGATGCAGCCAGCATTAAAGATAGCAGGGCTTTCTGTTGGTTTTTGCTGGTGTGGCACAGGTCCCCCTGGCTGCAGGCCCTCAGGGTGTCCCTGCGCTGGCGTAGGTGGCCTGCAGTCCCTTGGGGCGTTTGTTCCCTATTCAGGGTGGCCTTGGAGTTTGCTGGGCCTGCTGTAACCAGGACAGGGTGGCTCCTGACCTGTGCCCACCATGGTCCCCATTACTTCAACCTTGTTGCTTTTGCCTTTTCCACTGTATACAGCATTTACAGCACTTACAGTTTTGTATGCTCAAAATGCTGTATACAAGCTGGAAGACAAAGACCCTGCCTAAAAGACAGTCAGAGCAATTACATAGGCAAAAAAATGCATTAGATAAAATATGTCTTATTTCAAATACCAAAGTTCCCCTTAGAAACAAAAGGGCTTTTTTTTTTCTCTGTCATCTTTATTACGATTTTCTATTTAGGACTGCAATACTGTCCCCTGACCATGGGAGTGATAATGACTGTGACATGACATGGTCAGAGAAGCTGTGAGTACACGGAATTCATCAGTAAAGGGGGATTACCCATACCTTGTATATTGTACACACTGTGATTGAAGATTAAATCTTTACTGAGGATCAGTGTCTGTTTCATGGAATTCATGGAATAGTAAGTCAGAAAATGCATAGAAGCTCTTGACATGGTTTGGTTATTATATACGACCTGGTTCAGGACTGAAGAGCTGCTCTCTAGGAGAGACCATAATGTGCTTGGATTCAATATGCTCACAGGAAGAATAAAACTCCCTAAAATCCACTGCATTTGCTCTCAATTTCCAAAAGAGAAACTACTGATGCAGTTATTTTGTTAAAAAGAGGCTTAAAAAGGTCAATAGAGTTAAATCCTCATAGGAAATGTAGAGGCTATCTAAGGACATTGTGCTGGAGAGAAAGGAAAGATATATCTTATTAATCAAGGCTTGAAAATAGATAAAGGAGTGCTGGCATGGTTAGGAAGAGGGTATGGGAAGGAAAGTAATAAGCAGACTTAAGAATCTGCATTCCCCTATAGAAAAATAAAATAAAAAGGTCATAGATTCTAGCACGTTAAATATAAAAACACAGACTCATCTAAAAATCTAGAGGAAAGATAAAAAATTTGGGCAGCAAGTAACGCGACATCCAAACTAGCAATAAATCTCTAGAAAGCAGAAAGCCTAGCAGATAGTCTGTATAGCCAATAGACACACTCTGTGAAGAGAACATTTGGGAAGATAAGTTAGAAAAAAATAAATAACATTTTGTTTCTATATTCTCTGAAAGAGCTTGATGATGTTGCTACATCAGATTTGCCAGGATTTGAAGAGCTGATAGAAGACATTTGCAATAAATAGACAAAGCAGACAAAGTTAACAGCAACATCTAGCCAGAGTGCATGAAATACCCAGTTCTAAAGGAAGTCAAGAATGAAAAAAAACAAGAACTTATTCTTGCATATATACCACTGCAGACTCAATATGGCTCCTGTAAAGCAAAGTCATGCCTCAAAGAATCTGAAAGGGCCCTTGTAAAAACAGCATATAAAATCATTTAAAAAATTGCAGGAATTGAGCTTTATCTTGTTATTATATACTCGCTGCAGCATTAGAAGAAAGAGCTGTATTTCACATAATTTCATTTTAACATAAAATTCAAGGAAAATCTTTAGAAAAAGAAACAAAAGACATTACTCTTGCCTCCTAGTTGAATGTCCTACTATGCTAATCAGTGAACCTTGAGTTATTTTCTATTCAATGTCATCATTTTTAAAGGAGTTTGAATAACAGACTCATGTGAATCAAGCTTATCTTAGAGGTGATAGAAGGAATTGGTAGAGATGTAAAGGAAAGACATGGGGAAGAAGGTGAGGTAGGCACAATAGGGAGCTAAGTGCTTGCAACTCTTGAAGGCCAGTCACCATGAAGAGACAGAATGAGTGATAACAGCACTTCCTAAGGACTGGGGCATGCAGAATTTGTGGCAAATCAGAAAGTCATTGAGATGACTGGAATAAAGGCAAACACAGTGAAGCTGGGAACAGTCATTAATAAGCACTTTTTGCATTTTCTGTCTCAATTGTTCTGAATTTTCTCAGTTACAGAGCTAATTATTCTACATATGATTCAAATAAAATGTGATTTTTTTTAAAAAAAAAAAGCTGAAAAGCGCTTTAGGGGAGCTTGCAAGCATATGGGTAGAAAATATATCTACTTCTCCAACTGGTGGAGGAGGACAATGTTTTCTCTGTTAATATGCCTGATGCAGCACTTTTTTCTATGTTCTTTGAAGGACTTACCATGTCCCAGAGTTTTTACACTATTGTTCCACTGCTGCAGAGAGGCACAGTGAACGGCATTCACCTTCAGCGAAAATTGCAGTCACAACACAAACTGGGGAAGAAAAGGGCTTATTCTGAAGGTTGTATCCTAGACAAACCTAAAGAGAATTTCACAATTTATTGAAAAAGGTCCCACTAAATCCACTCTGTTGAATTTCACAGGTTTTCTGCTATCACTGATGATGTCTGGAGTTCTTAGAAATGTTAGTAATGTTAAGAATGGGAATTGCTAAGAATACAGAGTGTTCTGGTCACTTCTAATATTCTTTAATCTACCTAAATAATATTATTTAGTCAATGGCATTGCAGCTGCACTAAGAAGGGGCAAAAGGCAATGTTTTTAAACAAGTTCTAACAAGTTATTCTTTTGCATAGCTCTAATTGACAGCACAAGGTACACAGAAGTTGACAGGGAGCTTAAATCCCCTTGTACAGCAAGAGGTCACGAAAGTGTCCATCAGAGATGATAAAGAGTACTGACATCTTGTGGAATATGCAT